ATTCTGATAGAGACCAGGTGGATGGGAACACAGCCAGTGCACACATGACATGGCATGGCAGCACATGTCCCGACGTGGCATGAGTTCACGCGGCATGACGGCACAAGGCAGCAGAAGAATGGAAACAGTACGCAGAGATGCTTCCATGTTCGAGGGGAGGGACTGACAGAGTCGTGAGGCCCGCGAGCTTGGACATGTCGGCAGGCAGGCTGCTGGCCTTCAAATATGCATACCCAAAGTTTCTGCAGACAAGTGCATGTGGTACAACGGACAGGAGCAGTGGGAGAGATTTAGTCATATGGACAGATAGATAAATGCTTATATGAAGCCCATTGGTATGCCTCAAGTTCTAATATCATGGAACACTCTCATAGACGTGTGTTCCGGGAGCACTCACAGTGATTCCGGTGATCCGTCAATGGAACAACCAACATTAGACCAGGTGGTGATTATACCCTCGATACTTCCGCTGCCCACAATGCATAGAGACGAGGCGGCCCAGTCTGTGTATGTCAAGTCAAGCGATGACTTGATGGATAGCATCACGAACACTGGATGGAGATATCGGGGGTTAAAGAAAAAGGCAGAAGAGGACGGATTAAGCACAGATTGGCGAGGGGTTGAAAGAGGGAATGTGTGAGAGGAGGGCCTATGTGCGGATGTAAGAGGCAATTTGATTTGTGAGAGCAGGGAATAAATGAGAGAAAGTAGGAGAGTAGGCCCACCTGAGGCAGCGTTCATGAGGACTAGAGGAGGCTCTCCTGTGCAGGCACACGTATGGAACAGTCAGAAGCACGAACCAACAGAACAGACAGACACAATTGAAGAGCAAAATGGTTGCAACACATTCAGGTGGAAAACGACTGGGGAAACGCTGATGTAGAAAGGACATCTAGAGGGTGGCCTTGGACAAGAAACAGACGGGGTGTTGCATTTCCATTTGAATGGTTCACCTCACCACATGGCACATGGTTCATTTCCCTAAGCCTGCCTGCCTTTCAGCTAGCGTTTCCTCTATGCTTTTCTCACACAAAAATCCTCTCAGCCAATCAACAAGCGGCACGCACCCTGGCAAGCGAAGGACACCGGTGGCAGCGAGGGGACGTTGACAATGCCCTGGCTGACTGGCACAGAGCTGTTGGCGGCACAAAGTCCACCACGGCACAGCGTTCCCTGCCCGTCAGTCGTGCCGCAGATGGCGCAGGCAGTGCCAGTGCACTGCAGTGCGGCGTAGGTGTGGCAGTAGGAGGAGCCGACGAAGCAGTTCTGGTCGGCCGCACAACTCTTGAGAGAAAGCTGGGGGAAGGAGCCCGAGAGGTAGTTAAAGCTCACGTCCAAAGAGACCAGGGAGGTGGTCAGGATGGGCATGGTGCCCGTGAGGTAGTTGGAGAAGAGGCCCCTTGGGGGGGAGGGGGGGGAAGGGGGGTTGGTAGGAGGGAACGGAGATGCAGGCACAGGAATCTGAAGACGAAGCAGCACCAATAGAAGAGGCACGAGAGTGAGACGAAAGTGAGATGTGAGAGACAGTAGGGGCGATCTTTTTCTTTCCAGGCAGGCCAGCAACGGAGCTGCTGCATGAATATGCGGATTCTAGAAGCTGTGTGTTTGGCTTACAGGGTGGTGAGCTGTGGCAGGGAGGCGATGAAGGGAGGAATGGATCCCACAAACGAGTTGTTGAAGAAGCTAGGGGGGGTAGAGGAGCGGGAATGGACCGGATGAGAAGAGAATGAGAGGTCCAGGGGAAGGGTGGCAATACAATATTTAAGAATTCTGAAGGTTTTTTCTAGGCTCGGCTTGTCCATGCACTACACATTAGTGAATATGGGAAATATTTCAAAGCTCTTAGAGAGGAAAAGGTACTTACAGCGCCTTAAGAGAGGTCATGTCTTTAATTGGTGTGGCGAAATCATTGAGACTGAACTGAAAAATGTTGTAGCCGAAATCCCTGAAGAAGGTGCGTGAGAGAGAAAAAAACTTTGAAGCACATAACTGGAAGGTAAAGGTTCTGCTGGAGGCAGGTCGCATGATGGGTTGGAGAGAAGAACACATTTTACTAAGGCCATTGTCCAACAGCATGGCTCGCCCTCGCATTCGCATAATCACTTTCCCCTAAGGACTAATTGTGTGTATGCATGCATGCATGCATGCATACATACACACAATCACGCACTCTAGGGATTGCGATGAGAACAATATTGGTCATGCGCCAGTCGCCAGCAGAAGTAGGGTGGCCCTCAATTGCAGAGCCATTCTCCTTGGTGTGCGGCACACGGGCACACGGAAAACTATTCGTTCCCTTTGCAATTCAGTCAGACTTTCTGGGTGTGTGTGTGTTGCAGGTTCTTGTGCGCGTGGCCCCAGATTCATCCTTACAGGTAAGTGAGTGCAGTGAGCTTGTAGATGTCCTCATGAATAGACCCCTTCAGACCCTGATGTGCCAACGAGCTGAGGGGGAGTGATGGGAGAGGCAGAGGGATGGGTGTAGATGGGGTTGACAGAGGCCGGCTAGTTACTGTCTGACCCCCTCCTTCCCTCCCACAAAGCTCTAGCATGCATGCAATGGTGCTCACATAGAAAGCACGTCCCCAGTATCGCCACAGAGCACGCCGGACCACGTGGGCATTGGAGCCTGTTTGCCAACCACTTGGCACGGCACATCTGCTGCCCAAGAGGTGAACGTCACGCCCAGTGAGGACTTGAGCGCCAGCAGTGCTGGCCAATGGGGAGGGTGGGGGAGAGAAGGGGAGCGGGGAGAGATAGTGGAAGTTGTGTGAGATATAAGAATTCAGGAAGAAATATGGGAGAAGAGAGAGATTGGAGGAATGGGAGAGACCAGGTAGTAAAACAAAGGAAGTCGTAGAAAGAAGGGAATTGCGAGTACGGATGACCAAAAACCAAAAACTAACATGTCTGACCCCTGGTCCAACCGAACCTGTTCGGTCAAGTTGGTTGAACCGCTTGAGAATGAGATTTGCGGTTCGAGCATGGAAACGGGCTGAGTCGAATCGAACCGACATAACCCTGCTTAATTTGATTCGACCAGCATCGTTTCGCCATGATGGTGCGTTACTACATGTCATCATTTCCACACTTGATTGGCACAACATTGGGTTGGGGGATTGAAGGGATTCAGGGAAACGTAAGAAGAAGCTACACAACTCCCAACAACTCTGGTTTTCAAAAAAAATCACCATTAGTGCAACCCGAGTCACCCGATTCACTGCGTCAACGGTCAAACCATAGAATGTTGTAAGCGATCGTTTTTTGGCATCAAGATTGATCCATTTGACGTGGCTCGACCCAAGAGGTCGAACCGAACCGAACTGCTTGGTTGAACAAAAAATAGCTTAAGAAAAGCAGAAGTTTGGTTCAAGACAAACATGTTTTTACCCAACCAAACCAACTACAATTTGAATTTTAACCTGCGACTAGCTGGTGTTGAACACTCAACAAAGATGCCAAAAAACACACAGAACTAGTGAATGGTGCATGGGTGAAAAGACAAGGCATTGCTCCCACACACCTGCAGCGCTGGTAGATGACACGGAAGTTACAGGACCGCCTGCAGAGAACAATACAGGGAGGTTCGAGGATGTGCAGAACGTAGGCAGATAAGTGAACCACGACAATGATCATATCATCATTAGCAGCAGCAGTAGCAGCAGAAGTAGCACAAGAAACAGAAGCACCACCAGAAGCAGCAGCAGCAGCAGCAGCAGCAGCAGCAGCAGAGCAGCATCAGGCACGCGAGAAGCCAAAGGATGCACGAGTATGGAAAGCAGCTTGAACCAAACACCGGGCGCAGCATGCAGGTCATTCAGATCACATGTGTCATTCCTGCCCGCACAGACCCCTGCCTGCTGCACCCACTTCGAGGGGGTAAAGTAGGGTTACCCGAGCAGAACATGGGCAGAAACGGCTGAGAATCTGAGTTCGCTGTCCCCGATGCGATTCTAGAAGCAGAAGCGGGTACGCAGTCGCCGCCAACATTCCAACACAAAGGTTCGATGCCATTGGTAGTGCCACAGATGGCGCACTCAGCAGCAGCTCGGGTTTGGACTGAGCCACTTTGGCACTTCATGGGATCAACGAGGCAGTTGAAGCTGCCGAAGCAATAGCGAGCTTGGGTGACGGCCATGTCTGTAATGTAGTTGTAGTCGAAGCCCAAGTATGTCAAGGTTGTGGGCAGGACTGGTATGGTGCCAGTGAGGTAGTTGAATTGAAGAAAGCTGCAAAGGGTGAAGAGTTCGACGGTGGACAAGATAGCAGGGGAGGGCAGAGGAGGGGGTACAAGGTTTGTGAATCGTGATGAGGGTGAGAGACTGGGTATGACGAGAGATAATAAGCTGAGTCGAGCATCAAGATACAAGACATGAAAGGTGTGGCACGATTTTACTTACAGGTTTTTTAGTGCGGGGAGATTCACGAGGAAAGAAGGGACACTGCCGTAAAAATAGTTGTACTGAAGTAATCTGTCAAGTAAATGGCAGGAGATTTGGTGGTTACATTGATGACAATCTGTCACACAATGCTGGGATTCCTGGCCCACAACAATGTCATGTCAAGCCAGGAAAACGATCAGTCATGTCAAGGCTGGAAGAAGTGAGCCGTCAGCCAGGAATTTCCAGCAATGTTGATAAATTCTGTTGATGCCACAGCCAAGTGCGTGAATTCTTACCCCTGGATCAACCATGATGTTGAAATTACCATTCTCAGCTCATACTCTCTTGACTACTCTCGCTCTCTTGACTACTCACGCTTTCTTGACTACTCACATGTCCTGTATACTTGTACACCCTTGGAGGTTGGAAAGGAAGGTATCCAGGCGGCCAGTTAAAATATTTCGAGACAAGGATCTGATTGAGGGAAGACCGGAAAACAGGCCGGAGCAGGCGTGGCTTGGAATGGCAGCACACAGCATGGCAGCACACAGCATGGCAGCACACAGCATGGCAGCACACAGCATGGCAGCACACAGCATGGCAGCACACAGCAAGGCAGCACACAGCATGGCAGCACACAGCAAGGCAGCACACACCATGGCAGCACATAACACATGGCACGCCTCTTCACCACCAGTACACAACGGCCGCCCTTGGTGGGAGTGAAGCCATGATCCACGCTGTGGTGTGGTGTCCTCCTTTCAGACCCAGTTGTGATACCTCATGCAGCAAATGTGCTTCAAGCAAGCGCACCCAAGCATCTGAGCTACAAGCAACACCCGGGGCAGGACCTAACAGGCACTAATGACTTTGGCATTGGCGTGCTTGTGTCGAGCATGCAGCCTCCATGGCTGATCATGGCGGACGTCCCCTCCCACTCACAACTCTGCACTCTTCTACAGCATATGCTGACGTCCCAATCCCCTCAAGCCACTGCTTGATGAACCCGCTTGGACCTTCTTAAATATGGTCCCTTCCATCCACCCACCTACAAGGCTGCCAAGTTGTTTCATCAGTAACAATAGCACTTGTCATAGCAATTCACCGGAGGCTAGACATGAGCACAGGTTGATCCAGCTCGACCCAGTCCGATTTATCTCAAGCCGGGTGAGGTCTGGACAGCCTGAGGTGAGGGAAAAATACGCTGACTCTGGTATAAAAATCGTTTTGGTACCAAGCCAACCCAAGAGTCGGGTCGGCATTTACCAGGGTCGGGTCAGGGTTGACCTGCTGGCAAGAACTGGGTTAGGTCGACCTGCTTGGGACAAGCCCGCCAGGCGAAAGGGAAGGACAGATCAGAGATAAAGTAGAGGAGGGGAACTGACAGAGTGGTGAGGGCGGCCAGCTTGGAGATGTCTGAATGCAGGCTGCCTTTGAGGTTCGAATTTCGCAGGTTTCTGCAAGCAACCGAGCCGGGGGTGTGATAGGACCAACCGGGAAATCGTGATGCGGAGGAGGAGGGCAATATGCACGGGTATAGACACCACTAGGAGCTCGGATGGGCTCGTGTTATATGTGAGGATGAAATGTAAAATCGATGGATGGGTAACACTGAGAGATTTCTAGCCATATGGGTTGATCATGGGCCATGGGCCTACAAATGAAATGCAAAGAGTGTGGGCCGTCCTACTGGTGGTGATATGCTCCACGTGTTATTCCAAGTCTGGTTCTAGAGCTGCGCTGATACGAGAGTAGTGTTTTTTTTTTGCACAAGTGCCTTGCAGGGAAATGCAGGGAAGACTCAATCACAATTGTGCTTGCTCCATGACTGTTTTAAACACTTGCAAATCTCAAATCTCTTGGAACACTCACACACACGTGCGTTCCTGGAGCACTCACAACCGTATGGGAGACCCGTTCATGGAGCAAAAAACATTAAAGAAGTCGGGGTCTCTGTCTGACTGGCGCCTTTCGATGTCCGTGGTGCATACAGAGGAGGTGGCCCAATTTCGGAACGGTACACCCAGGGATGACTTGAGGGAAAGCAATGCAAACACTGGGAGAATGGGCAGCGAAAGAGAAAAGAGAAAGGACGGTTTAGGCACAATCAGGACACAGTTGAAAGAGAGACTATGTATGTGGTCAGGGGAAGATGTATGCACGCAGCACAAGTGGATCCTTTAGGTTGTTTGATTGGTGCGTGCAGCAATAAGTGGTAGTGCAGGAAAAGAGCGCTTGAGGCAGATGGGTGCAGGAAAAAGGCATGGGGCCCACATGAATCAGCTTTCAAGAAGACGAAGGGGTAGGGAGCAACTCCTGTACAGGCACCACGGGGACAGTCAGACACGAACCAACAAACAAATAAACCAATTAGACGAAAAAGACTGAGAGAATCTTGAAATCGATTGATGATCAGACAGATAAGGTGGTTGCGTTGAAACAGGCAACAGACTTGTGGCACATAGTCGGATTATATTTCAATGGCGGTGGTTCACCACATGCCAGGCCACGCCACATCGTATCATTCCCTTTCGCTTGCCCATGAGCCTCCTCAGTACAACTTCATATCAATTGTAATCTTTTCTCACATGAGTCTCCTCTCCTGCACGCGCAACACACCCTGACAAGTTAAGGATACCGGCGGCAGCAAGGGGACGTTGACAATTCCCTTGCTGACTGGCAGAGAGCTGTCAGCGGAGCAAAGTCCATCAAAAAGGCATAGCGTTCCCTGCCCGTCCGTCGTGCCGCAGATGGCGCAGGCAGAGGCGGGGCGCTGCAGTGCGCCGTAGGTGTGGCAGTAGGAGGAGCTAAGGAAGCAGTTCTGGTCGGCCGCATAGACCGCAAGGGAGAGCTTGGGGAAGGAGCCCGAAAGGAAGTTAAAGCCAACGTCCAAAGAGACCAGCGAGGTGGACAGGATGGGCATGGTGCCCGTGAGGTAGTTGGAGAAGAGGGCCCTGGGGAAAGTGGGGGGGAAGAGGAGGTAGAGGGGGGGTGTTGGGGGTGTGGATGGGGGTTTGTGGAAGGGAGGAGGGGGGAAACGGGGGAAGAAACAGCACATGCAGAAGAGGCATGCGAGTGAGACGAGTGAGGTGTCAGAGATATGAGGGTATCCAGGCATGAGTGGAGGAAAGGCCAGCGAGAAGGCTCCTGCATGAATCTGTGTTTGGCTTACAGTGTGGTGAGTTGTGGCAGGGAGGCAATGAATGAGGGAATAGATCCAGAAAGCCAGTTGTAGTTAAAGAAGCTGGGGGGTAGAGGAGCGGGAATGCACCGGGAAGAAAGCGAATGAGAGGTCCACAAAGAATTTATTCAATACGCCCTTAGGGAGGAATTGTTACATAATGAGAACGGAATTTATCCTCAACTTGGCTAAAAAAATGCCATACACTACACTGTACATGCCAATGATCAGAACTGTACAGCTCTGAGAGAGGGGAAGGTATGTACAGCGCCTTCAGCGTGGTCATGTCCTTGATTCCTGTGGCAAACGATGCAAGACTGCCTTGAAAAAGGTTGTAGCCGAAATCCCTAATGCAGGTGGGGGGGAAAGACTTTGTGAAGAGACATGTCTGGAAGAGAATGGGGTAGAATGGTTTGGAGAGAGACACTAAAAAGGACATTGTCTAGGCCACCATCACATTAGCAGCTCAATTTTACCCTCTCATATTACCCTCTCTTCCTCTGATGCACAATTCACCCTCTTTTTCAGGTGCACAATTTGCCTGCTCTTTTGCAGATGCAGGCATGCATGCATTATCACGTTCTCTGAGGGACACGAAGGAGGACGGCCGGCCATCATGACATTTAATGAGAGCAACAGATTGGTCAGTCCGTGCCTCTTTCAATATCCCTTTTTCTGTGCCCAACTGACTGAACATGAGACGGCGGCCGCCAGCAGCTGAAGGCTGGTCTCCCGGTATGCCGTCAGCCTGCTATGCACTCCCTTTGCAATGCGGACAACGTGTTTGTGTTTCAGACTCTAATGTTTGTCCGTGATTCTTCTTACAGGTAAGTGAGCGCGGTGAGTTTAGATATGTCCGAATGAAGTGACCCCTTTAGACTCTGACGCGCCACCGAGCTGTAGGGGGGTGGGAGAGACAGAGTGTTGGGTGTGCAAGGAAGGTGATAGAGGCCGGCTGAAAGATCATCTGTCATTCCCTGTCACACCCACTGTCTCCCTTTGGCAACAGAATACAGCTGTGAAGAGACAAAATCCAAGTCAAGCCACTACCCGCACACACACGCACCCACGCGTGCTCGTGCGCGCGTGCACACATACGCACGCACACACAAACACACACACACACGCGCGCGCGCGCGCACGCACGCACGCACGCACACACACACGCACGCAAGCGCGCGCGCGCACGCACGCACGCACACACACGCACACACTTAGGGCGCGGTTATTGGTCAAAAAGAATTTATGGTCTAATGAGACATTAATGACAGCAAGCACACAGCCAAGAGCACAGCACTGCCCGGCTTACATTGCAATCACGTCCCCGACACTGGAGCAGGAGACTTGGTCCCAATCAGTACTCGCGATTGCCGTAGGAGGGACAACGCAGCACGGCCATCACACAGGCAAGTCGCGCCGCCATGGCTCCTACAAATCCTCTTGCCACCATTTTGCCGCCCCAGCGTACTAGCATCCGAGAACAGATAGCTTGCTTAGCACTAGTAGTACCGTAGCTTCATCTCCAAAATGTAATGTCCCGAAACTGTCCCAGAAGATTCTTTTCGATTACTTTCGGGACAGGTTGAAAAGTGTCTCGAAAGACACTTTCGAGACTACGTGAAATGTTCTGAAAGTGTCTCGCCTAACTGACCCGAAAGTGTCTTTCGAGACACATTCGAGACATATCCAACCAACACATTCAGGGCTGTCCCCAGGACAGATTCGAGACACACAAGAGACAAATTTTCAAGTTTAAAGCCCGTTTGCATTATAAACACTACATTATTACACTGTTCTAGAAAATAGGCTACAGCACATATGCAACCAACTTCAACTTCCTTCAATATTTGCACCACACTGTGCATTATTATTTGGTGGCTTCCAAATCCAGAGATAGTGTATCAATTATATTAAATCCTGAACACAAGACATCACATTGAAGTTTAAATCAGTGAATGCCTCAGTTGATGCCTAAACGCATGTGATGCAGAAACAACTAGTAGTCCAGAGAAGACGACGCAGATTGGAATGAAAGTTACAATTACTCTTCGTCTTAATCTGTACCTGCCAGTTGGCCAAATGTGGCAAATTACAATTAACCATCAAATGCGTGAAGGGAAATAAATGCTCGAAAAACGCACGGGCGAAGATCTTGACATGCCCTTTCTTCAATTTCTGTTGAGGGTATTCTTACGACCAAACAAAAACACAGCAAGTAAAAGCAGGATTATATACTTTTAAAGAACGACAACGTTAGATAAAATAGAATTGCCTGAATACATCAAGCGTAGCCAGAATGACACGGATATGCATGACAGATTTAAGGGTACGAAATACCAACCGTCATTTCAAATTGTATTTGTTGCCGTGATCCACTGCCATGGGAAGGAAGGAACGCAAGGGAAGAAGATGCACAAATTAGATGCATTAACATTGTAAAGGACGTTAAAGTTGATGGGAGATAAGAGAGTAACTACGAGATGCTAATCGATATGACGGTTCTGGTGACGATAGAAGAGGTAGAACAAGTGCGCTATCATTTGCAAACAAACAGAAATGCGCGCCATAGCGATTCTGAAATCCCGTAGAAACTTCAACGGGAGTCACTAGTAGAGCCAAGTTATTGGCAGACACAGAGACAGAACAACAAAACACGAGGAGAAAGAAATGAGTTGTGATCAGGGCTCACTTTATCAGAAATTTTTGGTCTGAATTTCTGGATTCTGAACACATTTTTACTGGTTCATCTGATGCCGTAGACATGCTGTTTAATTTCGTCTGATTTTTTAGAGAAGCTTTTTCTATTCATCTGATTTCTCAGGCAGCCTTATACAGTTCGTCTGAGATTGCAGATATCGAGTCATTTTCGACTGCAGGCAAAACTCTCGAAACAAGCAGACTACAAGGTTCGAACTGGAAACCTCAGTTTTCACTGCTCCATATTCTCCTGACTGGACCATTAGAGCTGTTCATCGCTATTACTTGGTTGTATTAATCATATTTGAGAGTACATTGCTTGCTAGCTTTATATATTCTCAGACAAGTATTTTGGATTCGTCTGAAAAGCTAGACAAGGTTACAGTTTTCGTCTGACAATCAGACAAGGAGCCAGGACCCAGTCTTGACATCAGACGGGTCATTTTACTAAAGTTAGCCCTGGTTGTGATAAGAGCAAAACGCTCTAATCCAGCAAAACGATTGAAATTTGAGGGAGGTTTGGATGGGTTTCGCTAGTTTCGCAGTGGTTAACGTGATGGGGTTTTCACATTGAACTGGTTGGCACAGGTTGTTGAGTATTTGGGTTGTGTGGTGACAGTGACGCGACTATTTTCCAGTGCACGTGGCGATTTTGATGCAGTTGGCAGGTGCCACGTTGGTTTGCATGACAGGTGGCGCAAAGGTACTGCTTATTTTGGATCAGGATGCGTTTTTTTTTGGAAAGTACATGCCAGGTCCTTAGTTTCAAAAATATCTCAAATTTACTCCCGAGTTTACCCTAAAAGTCCAGCTTTGTGGAATTTCGCTCACGCGAGGCCCAGATTATGTTCAAAACTGGTCCTGCTGGGCCAAAATTTCGACACGTGTCTATTTCGCACCAATATTTTATTAACAGGGTAAACAAATCATAATACCCCTAGGGTGACGGGGCACATTTCGGGAGGGATCAACCCTAAACACCGGGCGGGTTTCCGTGTTTAGGGTTGATCCCTCCCTAAAATTGTCCTGGTTTCGCTAGGGGTATTATGTTTTTTTGCCCCGTCGAGAAATTCTTGGTGCGAAATGGACACGTGTCGAGAGTTAAGCCCCGCAGGACCTGTTCTGAACATAATTTGGGCCTCGTGTGAGCAAAATTCCACAAACTTGGACTGTTTGAGTAAACTTAGGTGTAATTTTGAGAGAGTTCTGAAAATATGGAGCTAACATGTACTTTCCCGTTTTTTTTCAACGAACGAATCTCGCCAGCGAAGTTGGTAACGAGCTCCATGTCAGTTTGCGAAATAACTAAATGCTTCAAAACAAATGAGGTTATCTATTTATCGATATGTATGGCACAGTCCTCTGTGTGGAGCTCTCGAAACTTAAGGTCTGGGGATCGATTCCAGGATGGACATATTCTTTTGAGTATGTAACAGTCATGATATTTACAATTACTCAGCTGGTTGTTGAGCAGCAACAAAACCATGTTTAGTAATGACATCGAACCTGAGACTTCTGGTCACATTGCAGTTCAAACCTTCCAGGACACATATTCCCTTCTTGGCCGGGACAGTTTTTGACACAAGTCACTTTCAGGACATATTAACATGTAGCGTAAAGGCGACAATAGCTGAAAATGTCTCTGAAGTGTCTTTCAAGATAGTTTCGGGATGGATTTGTGTCGGTTCTGGGACAGAATGGTTTCGGGACAGATTGGGGACCATGCAATTTTGTAGATGTTTACAAGCTCAAAAAAGAGAATCTGGAGACACTGTCCACTGATCTGGTGGAGCTTTTGAAATACAATCTGTGGAGTACGATCCTCTCACCATTCTCCTCCTCCCCCCCCCCTCCCCCTCCCCCTCCACTCCCCCTCTCCCACTCCTCACTTTCCCCTTTCTCTCAATATCGCACGTACGAACCTTATCGATCTGGAAGGGTTCACACGCACGCGTCGTGTGGTTGCAAATGCTCAAGCCGGGTGAGGAACTGGATCGCTCCATCGAGGGGGGTTGGGTGTTGAGATTGCACTGACCCTGCAGAGGGTCGTCGTGTTCTGCAGGGACGCGAAAGTCTCCCGAAGCGGAAACTTGCAGAGGACAGGGTGGAGCTCTGCACTGCAGTAGAAGGACTTCGCAGAAGCGGAAATCTGCAGAGCATCGTGGTGCTGCAGAGGAGGGCGAATCTGCAGAGCAGATTTCAGAGCTGCAGAAGAAGGCGCATCTGCAGAGATTTCGGAG